TGATCAAGCCTCTCTTGCTAGGTGTTTGTGGCAGAATGAAGACATGGTACCCGGAGAAACGAACGGTGTCCACTGTTAATGTCTCCTGGATTTCCTTGATCGCACTTCTGCTTGATGGATGGCATTTCTTGTGGAGAAGCCATTGATGTTCCACTGTAGTATGCTTAGGTTGTGTGTCATGATGTCACTTGGTGGTAGTTACATCAGAGACATCGTCCTATTCGGATTGAGAGTCGGAGTCTGACAACTCCATTGCGAAGTCCTCGCTGGTTCAGGGGTCTTCGTCTGTTGTCAGGCTATCCCTGAGTCCAATGGGGGGTGGAGAGCCTTTGGTAGCTCTGACTTTAGTTAGTTTGGCTTTTCTCTCTGCAGGCTTTTTCTGTGTATTTTTCTTTGCTGGCCTTGCCTGGGTAAGGTCAGCGCGTTTTGGCTCTGGCTGCACAGATTCAGCCTGGTTTGGCTCTGTCTGTGAAGGTATGACCTGGGTTGGAGTGGGGAGGGGAGTCTCGTCCTGGGGTGAGGGTGGGGCTGGTTTAGCTCTCTACAGCTTTCTTCCCTTCAGGACTGCGACTCTCTGGGTCATTGCCGTCATGGCGACCGTGACTGCCTTCTCGGCCTCTTCACTAGACCTCCCCAGGGGTGTTGCTACTGCTGTGACTACAGCAGTCAACATATATTCCTCATCAAAGAGGAGATGATAATCTCTTGGGGAAGGTTTAGAACTGCTCTTTGAACCTTTATTCCTTTGGTTCTTTTTTTGCACTTTTTGCATGGCCGGAAACTCCTTTTTGTTGGAGACATCCGGTGTCGGCTGGGGAGCGGCTTCCTTCCTCTTAGGAGGTCGAGAGGCCTTTTCACTTATGTTCTTTCCCCAGACATGGGTGCCTGGGGGTGCAGGAACAAAGTCTGATCGCTTTTTAGCAACCTCGTGTCGCCTGAGGGCCGTATCTTGCCTCACAGAGCAAGCCAGGCTCCAGGCATAATGCCTCTTGGCACAGTTGGGACATTTGGCTGTTGTGTCCCTCTTTTCTTCTTTGTATGCCTTAAAGCACACCTCTGTGTTGTGTGCCTTGCTACAGACACCACACTTAGCCATGGCTGTGCAGCTAGCCTGGTGGTGACCGTATTTCTGGCACTTGAAACATCGAAGTGGTTCAGGCACACTCGTTCGAATGTTGTAGGTGTCCCAGTTACCCAGATCAAGGGTAGTGGTTGGGGCACCTTTCATGGTCACCAGGACTTGCCTGGTTGGAGTCTTCCCCTACGACATTCGGGAAGCCTCCACCATATGTGGGTGTGAAGTGATCAGATCCACATCGTATGAGACTGAGAAGCCAAGTAGCACCATCTTGACTCTCTTATCCTCGGGATTCAGTGGTGAGAGGCTCACTCTCCTCCCATCTTTTAGCTCCTTCGTTTCCTGGAGGTAATTCAGGGTAGCTTGAACTTTGGGCATAATGATCATGCCCTAATCTCTGGCAACCCGGTTCGACAACCGGATTTTTCGCTACAACTCCAATACCCTGACCAGTTGGTAGGATGGTTATTCTGTCTTGTACATCTTGGCAGCAGGCGTGACATTGTCATCTTGTGCATGGGGTTTCTTTTGCCACCAGGAGGCACATATGGCTTCAGGGTGACTGCTGTGGTCTGGGCCTTGCGTAGTTCGTTAACATTTGGATCTGTCTGTGGGGAGGTATTGGTTTATTTTTTCCATATATTAGGGCAGTGCTTCATCCTCTCACGCCCCCGCCCACTACGAAGTCCAACAAGGGGAAGCTGAATGTTAGAGCCAGTGTCTAACAGCTACAAGGGTGATGAGACTCACGGACCATTGTGAGTGCCAATGGCGGCATGACTGCTTGACCCTAGCCTCCCGAGGGAGACCAGCCGATTGGCCTGACCGGGCCAGGATCAGGCCGCCTGTCTTGCTGGAATAGAAGACCAAAGAGACGTGTTGCTAGCCGCAGGGCATACTCATTCTCGGCATCGCTTAACCTCCAGGACTCCCGTCTCCACAGCGCACAAGGCTGTCATGCACAGCAAACGCTTGGGTAGGTGTAAACTCCTGGGGAGAGACCAGAGGGGATGCCCTTCCACCTAAAGGACATCATTTTTTGGAAAACTTTTGATCTTCCCTCTGAAGTAGCCACCCAAAGGTTGCTTCACCTCAGTGAGGGAGGGAGCTCTTGCACTTTTTTCCAGGAGGTTCCTTTCATCCCTCTGAAACAACTACCCAAAGGTTGTTTCACCTCAGTGAGGGAGGAGACGACCTTTGCCTTTTCTGAAACAGCCCCCCAAAGGCTGTTCTACCCCAGTGAGACACTTTTATCAGGCGGTTCCTCTCTTCCCTCTGAAACAACCACCCAAAGGCTGTTTCACCCCAGTGAGGGAAGGGAGCTCTTGCACTTTTATCAGGCGGTTCCTTTCTTCCCTCTGAAACAACCACCCAAAGGTTGTTTAACCTCAGTGAGGGAGGAGAGGATCTGTGCCTTTTTAA